AACCATATTCCTGAGGGCCATGTCAACCCAGTCTCTGCTGCTCAGGTTGTGAGGGCTGTATAAACATCCTGTGTCTGCTTTTAGCAATACATGAGGTGGATGTTCCCATCTGTCCTCCAAGGGATGGGAGCTCATCCCGCTCTTCATTCCAATTCCCAGCTACAATCACATTTTTTTTCCCCTTTTCCTTGACACTTCCATGTTGACAGCCTCAGACAGGTAACACACACGGCTTTTTGTCCCCTTGTGATACTTGCAGTTGTCACCAATCGTGGAGTTGAACGTCGGCGGGGAGTTGTACACGACAACGCTGAGCACCTTGAAGAAACACCCTGGCTCCAAGCTGGCAGAGATGTTCACCGGCCAGCCCAAACTCAGGACTGACTCTGAAGGGAGGTTCTTTATCGACAGGCCAGGCACCTATTTCAAATACATCTTGGAGTATCTGCGCAGTAACCAAGTGCCCACCCAGTGCATCCAGGACGTCTACAAGGAGGCGTTGTTCTACGACATCGAACCTCTGATCAAGCAGCTGGAGGACTCCCCACAGATCTTCGGGGAGCTCATGGCGAGGAAACAATTCCTGGCTCGGGTGCCCAACTACAGCGAGAACATCGAACTGATGATCCGCATCGCCAGGGCGGAAGCCGTCGCGTCCCGCCGGTCCAGTGTCATCGTGTGTGTGGTCAGAACCGAGGAGGACATGGCCAGATGTCAGGATGCCTTGAACAGCTTGGACATGGATAAAAAATCCGTGGTGAAGTTTGGCCCCTGGAAGGCAGCGCCAGGTATTTCTGATCTGCTGGACTGCATTCAAATGGACATTGAAGCCAAAGGGTATAAAATATCCTTTCAGCCCCACGTCGCTGAGAAAGGTTTTCGCTTCAAATCGCACGACTTCTTCTACAAGTTCCTGTTCACCTGGTGGTAGCAAAGTGCCACCATTGGTGGAGAACGGAAGAAGGCAATTATTAAAATGAATTAACTTGGGCCATGGAGACTAAGCCA